GATTGGGCCCCAGAGATAGCGTATACTCCCGTCTTAGCGCGCGGAGGAGTGTGCACTCTCAACTAGGGGTGAGCATACATTCACGGTTGAGGTCACACTGCGATAGTCAACATGAGTAACCTTCCAGGCAAAGTGTTCATTCTCGGCTAAGCCTACAAGGAGCATCATCCACCTCACATCGGAGTCGGCAGCACGACGGACGGAGAGAAGCGGTTACTCAATCCAGCTCAAGTTGAACCAGCAGCCTGTGAAGAACTCACTCGCTTGCTAAGAACGCACCACATGCACTACATCTGCCGCATAGATGAGCCAAACACATAGAAAAGCAGACTAGACCAGCAAGTCATGGCTAGGGGCAGCCAAGAGCTCCGTTACCCCAACAAAGGCAAATTCAAGAAGAAGTGGAGAGATTCTTGACCAAGCGATTGCGCGATTTCCAATGCAACAAGGTCACCAAAAAGGCACTACAACGGAACATGACCAACATAAGCAGGTCACCCTTCACGGACGAGATCGAGCAGGCAGAGCCTCCAGGCGAATTAAGCATGCCACATTTCACATCTTTCAAAGAGGATGAAGACCCGAAGAGACACTTACAGCGCTACCGAAGCACAATGATCCTTTATCGAAACAACGATGATCTCATGTGCAAGATATTCGCCACCACTCTATAAGGCGAGGCGCAAGATTGGTTCTACACCCTGCCACCATAATTCATCCGAAATTTCTACGAACTTTCTTTGGTTTTCACCAAAAAATATTCATCCTATCGCTCGATCAAAAAGAAGTTCGACCATTTGTTTGACGTCAAGAAGAACCCTAAGGAGTCACTTCGTGACTATGTGAGGAGATTCAAAGCAGAGAAGGCAAGGATAGTCGGATGCAACGACTAGATAGCTAAAGCAGCCTTCCAAAAAGGCCTTCCAGCAGACCACTCGCTATTCAGAAAATTGATTATGAAAGAAGATCTAACTCTGGTAGACTATTTTGCTTTGGCAGAGAAGCATGCACTTTGGGACGAGGCTCGCCAATGCACATTCAAGGACTTGAAGAAGTACATCACCTCTCTAGAAGCAGCGGAGGACTTATTTGCATGTTTAACGGTATCTAAAGTAGCAATAAGCTCTACCATCATGCGAAAAGAGCTGGGGGCCCGACTACCTGTATTCTATAGTTACCTGTATTCTGCAGTTTAAAAGCTCTCCTCGATGCTATTAAAAATTCAAAAGCTAACTTTGGCGATAGTTGTTGTAACCCAAAAGCTTAAGTTTTACCTTCAAACGCACATAGTCATCATCATGACGCACTACTCTGCCGAATCCAAACCCGCGACCATGAAGGCATAGACCCTGGCAGATGCAAAGTTTTTTGACGAACGCAACAACTCGGCCCAAAAGACATGCCAAGGGCAAATGAACACTAGAAGGAACAGTCAGAAGCAAGTTTTGTCATTGTCGTCCCAAAAGATTCTACGTAAGAGTAACATGTACTGGCAGTCGAGCATTACCTCCTGTTGCGTGTCACACAACCCTAGCTGACCTTTGCTCCATTATTCAGCTCTAGAGTGGCCTAATACCAGAAGTTGAGCATCTCCTGCTACATGTAACATGGCCCCAACTTCACGACTCCCTACCGCGCCTTCAAGCCTAGCCTTGACATTGCAACAGAGCGGCCCAACGACGCCCCGAAGGTAGCCGAGCACACTTTAGCCACACCTGCTCCCTCTATGGAGATTTCTGGCATTTGCATGTCGACGGCGCATCCAACTACAAAGGCTTCAGCTGTTGCCATTATGAGTTGAGGAGGAAATGAGAAGGCTCTGGCCTTATTTTCATGTGGTTGTTGTGCCAAGGAAAGAGTTTTCTTTAAAAAAAAATTATCTTGGTTTCCCAGTTATTAGAGGTTCCCGATATGCATGAATCAAATATCCCACTACAATGCATTTTAAACTTGCTATAATGGTGTTTGATATTTTCTATGCCTGTTTGTTGAATAGAAGTTAATTTTTGTGAATTGCTATACTGAGCTTCTAGTTCACAGTTTTAAGGACCATGGAAATGTTTTGTTATGTACTGTAAAGAAAAATGTTGGGAACACGTAGAACACTTTATTGTATTGTTTTATCACATAGCTCTCTCCAACTTTTTAGCTGATTGAAGCTTATTTGGTTGTACTTGGTCTTCAAGTCTTCAATCGCTAAAGTTATGGCTTGCTTGTCTAACTTATTGAGTAATTACAATGTAATTTTTGCTTAGTTATCCACATTTAGGCTTCTGATGGTGTTCTTATTTTTTTTTCCAGATTCTCTCCAGTTGATACAAATTTAGTTATACGGGAGTTTGAAAAATGTGGAGTGATTTTGAAACATGTTCCTGGTCCAAGAGATGCCAACTGGATGCACATTCTATATTAGGTTTTTTTTTCTCCATTATTTTGAGTTTGATGAATCAAATTTCTTATATCAAGCATTGATCTTCTCTTCATTTCTTCACCTCTTTGAACTGGTAATGTTACCAAGAATTCGTCAATTGGAGAGTTTGCAAGTCAAACTCATTGACTCTCTGTAAGAAATGCCCTTGAAATTGGGAGTAAAGCTAACCAAAACTTTGATATAAATTAAAATTTTTGAGCAGTTGGAAATAGCTGAGTTTGTTTTTATGACTTATCTTTTGTTATGTGTTATGAAAGATGTTTTACTTGTAAAATGTATGGATTTGTCTCTGTCAAATATAATAATGGCACTGTGCATCACTTCTGCTTAAAGTTGGGCTTTATTATTGGCGGGATGCTGCCATGTATGTCAAAAGTAAGATCGCTTATTGGCCTTGGTTGCAGACATAGCCTCACGGAGGCATAATATTGATTAAGATTATCAGTAATACTTATGTCTAAGGAAGTAATCACAGGATCACATTATAATTATTTGCTACTGCTGTTGGCTTATGGCATGGAAGGAATTTGTAACACCATTATGTGTGCGCCATGCGTATATGAGTGAAAATGGATGTAAACCATGTTTGTCTCTGTTTTTTGGTTGCCAAAGACTTACCTGTATTCCATCTTTCTACTCTCTGTTTGCTCAGTTTGGCTAGGTATCCTACAAGAATGCAACTACTATTGATGTTAACCATTCACTTTGCTGGTGGTGCAGAGTTACTCTGATGCTCAGAAGGCTCTTAGCAAGAATGGGATGCAAATTAATGGGGCACTAATTATAGGCGTGAAGCCGCTGGATCCAATGCAACACCATGCATTAAATGAAAGGGTCAACAATCAGGGTTTCATGACATTTCCCCCTCAACCATCCATGAAACATGCAGAGATGAATGCTTCAAGAGCCCCCCTTGTCCTTACTATCTTCAAAACGGTAATACCAGCGGGCAGAAATCTGGAGGCGCAATTGCTTCCCGAGCAAAGTCATTGGTGTCCAAAGTCATGGATTTAATGCTTGGTATGTAGAATTTTGTGGTTAAGAAAATGTAATTGTTGGTTAAAATTTTCAGTTAAAACGTGAAAGAGGTGTCGATCCTCCACAGAAGCTGAGTACCAATGTTTAATTGTAATATAACCTATTTAAGTTCTAAATGTTTAAACCCTAAAACGTTTACGACATGCTTGCTCATTAAACTTATATATTTTTCAACATGTCATGGCAACCATGAATAGAACCATCTTAGCCGTCTTATTCATGCTAACGATCTCATTACTTCCAATATTCACTGGCTCAAGGAAGTCTAACTTCATCAACAAATCATAGAAGACATAAATTACAAATTTTAAAGGGATTTGCATGTGGAACACAACATATACCGAATAAAATTTGGACCAAGAAAAACAATAATGGATAATAGTGTTCAAATTTGAACAACTTAAAAAAAATAAAAAAAATAAAAAGTCTTGTCCCGTTCCACTCATAAAATTGTACCAAACAACAGAAGGAACATGGGTATTTTAGTCATTTTAAGCTTTTGGTTCCGTTCCGTCCATGCGCTACCAAACGCAGAATGGAACAACCATCATGTTCCGTCCTGCGTGTACCAAACATACACAGAACATCCGTTCCGTCCCGTTCTGTCCTGTCCTGTCCTGTCCCGTCTCGTCCCGTCCTGTTCCGTCCCGTTTGCGTACCAAACGCTACCTAAGGGTGCGTTTGGTACGCAGACGGGACGGGACGGGACGGGACGGAACGGGACGGGACGGGACGGGACGAAGGTGTAATTTTTGAAAAAGACATGGGGTATATTTGTCTTAAAATGGTAAAACATTGTGTTCCACATACGTGGAACAAACCCGTTCCAGGGGGGGGAGGTGGAACGCAAAAACACCCAAAATCTGTCCCGTGGAACAGCCCGTTCCACCCATTTTTAGCGCACCAAACGCGGGACGGAACGCTTCGTCCCGTTCCGTCCCGTCCCGTCCCGCGTACCAAACGCACCCTAAGTGAACTTAACCTATGGGGCATATTTCATGACATCAAAGTATAATATATCCGGCAACGAACCATTTAGCATAAATAATCTTTATTTATGCGTTTACGCGTCTGTTTTAATTACTCAATTATATTTTGGCGATTTCCACAAGTGAGCTTTTGTCTAACAGGATTTACTAGCATTCTAATTAATTTAATCTCTGGCATCTCTGGATTCTGGTTGTCAACTTGAGACACAAGATTTGTCAAACAGCTTGTGTTTCTATAAGGATTTGCAGTTTAGTTATAGAACAAGCAAAGTTGCGTCTATTATTTCAAACTAGACTAGAAAGTTTTGACGTTTGCTACAAATAATGTTATTTAGACACAAAACTGACGCATTACTAACCACCTCTCAGTATGGGTGGATCACCACATGCATTCACCATCATCGAGCATAAGAAACTGCATCCGAATGTACGTACGTCATGATTAACGATCATATAATATAATGTCACGATTGTAGAAAGAGATTAATTAGTCACTGATGTTTGAATTTCATTTACTTGGTATTTAATTTGAGAAATGGAACTGTTCGAATTAATGGAAGTTTTTAATTATTCAGGTGAAGTTATATAAACAAATTATATAGCTAGCTCACTACAAGAAATATTTGTACATCCTCGATCTCTCTATCTCTACTATTGTGGAGGCAGAATGCACATCTGATATCAGCCAGTGTTCCCTTCGTTTATATACCACAGATTACATACGAACTATAGTCATACCAAGAGGAAACATTTTACCGTGTTTACTGCAATATCCAGAACCGTCCTCTTTCTCGATGAACTTAGTAAAGTCGCGATGAGTTCTGGATCAGAGGCCTTCATCTTCCGCGGCTCCTACACCCACAGAAGTTTGAAACAATGTGATTAAATAGAACCTCAACAGAAATACTGACACAGAAAACAGAACCAACTACTATAAATTTTTAATCATTGAATAGGAGAAAGAAAATGCAGAGAAATTCTCAGATTTTGAGTCATCTGTCATACATCCCCCTACCGGAACAACCAGGCTAAATACATACGCAACTTTGCACCTCTAGTACAATATGTAAATCTCACTTTTATATTGATACATGTAAAATCCAAGAGCATTATAATCTTGACCAATGTATGGAAACATGTTTTTGAAACCGAAGTTCACAAAGAGCAAACATTCTATGCTCACCAAAAGCAAAATTAGATTTAAAGACAATTGATTTTGGTCTCCGTGCGTGCGGAGACTGATGGAAGCATCAGTAAAATTTCAAGTCATCGAGAACTGAAGAAATTCATCTAGTAGAGTGAATTTGAAACAGTATCCCAAATAATCATCAACCGATTAACGATTTTTTATTAGTTACCATTTTTCCTTGAAGTCTGCTCCATGTTAATCTGTTCTTGCCATGACTGCTGCATCTCAGAAGATTCACACTCCATAAAAGGGTTGCCTTCTGATGCGGAATATGACTGTGGAACAGAAAATGAATTTCTGCTATTTGTCTGCTTCTTAGACATTGAAGATTTGGCAGTGGAGCTCACGCCTTCATTTGTTCTCGAGGGCCCAGCTTTCTTAGGATTGTGCCGATTATCTGGGAGTGGGCTTTCGTCTTGCATAAATTTCGATCTCTTCCTATTAAATTGATTGCTCTTGGAATTTTGACGTGTCGGTACCTTCTGATCATTAGAGGAGTCAGTAGGACAAGGAGAGGTTTTCTTTAATATCACCTTTGGGATAGGCAAATCTTCACTGGCAGAGTTGTCAACAACAACTTCATCTGTGCCATTTGCACTTGCAGCCTTTGCTGCTGCTTCCATATCCCACATCTTGAATATGGCCTTCGTGAAGCGTTCTCTAGCCAAATCTAGCTCAATGATAGGTTTCGAATAGTTAAATCCAAACTCTACACCTGAGAATTTAAGCACAGAATCAGGTGATTCCCAAGGATGATGGATCCACTCGGTTGGCAAACGTGCTAACTCAGGCAGCCAATGCCTTACATATTCACCCTCTGGATCAAATTTTGAGCCTTGAGCCTAAATCCGAAAATTCATAAAAATTAGAAAGGAAAAGAGTGAAATAAGATTCTGTGTGAACAGCATTACAGAAGTAAATACTTACTTCTGGACTGTCCAAATGCTCAAGCTCATGGCCATCTGGTAAGCTCCCTGAGATATACTGCCAACCAAGGATATCGCTTTCTAAATCGGCATCCATCAGCGTGTCCCAGAAATATTTCATTCCCCATCTCCAGGGAAGAAGCAGAACTTTCACAGTGAAACTTGAAACGATCACTCTTATTCGGTTTTGTATCCACCCAGTTGCCCATAGCTCTCTCATTCCTGCATCAACCAAAGGGTAACCAGTCCGACCTTGTCTCCAAGCCTTAAAATTGGCCTGGTCAGCTTGCCACGGAAAAAACTTCAAGTTGCTCAGTAATGGTCTCCCATGAGTGAACAGGAAATTAAAACATAGATACCGTGAGTATTCTCTAAAGCCCAATGGCCCTCAGAAAAGAGTCACACTCTCTTCCCCTGTAGAGTTCCCTTCTTTTGCCCACATTATCTGCTTCATTCGAGCTGATTGGAAAACTTTCCTCACGCTCAGTTCTCCGAAGTGAAGATAAGGGGACAAAAGTGATGTGGAGTTTTGCCCAACCTTCACCCTGTTGTTTGAATAATCAAGCAGGTGCAACTCTAAAAATTCACTTAGAGCCTTGTCCGCATTGCTCCAACTTGGAGACCATGCTCTTCCTAGGAGGGCATTGTAGACTTTTCCGTTTCATTTTCGAGACCCAGTTACTTGAGTGAAGATTTTGCTACGGTTTCTGTCACTAACAACCATAATTGAAATAAAATCTTCTTCTTTAATTGTTTGCCTGAAAACACAAACACGCAAACACACACGCACAAAGATCTTTGGAAGTCGAAAAGTACCTGTTGCCGGCATCAATTTCCATGGAGGAAAGCGTATCACGAGCTCCCTTTGCATGTGTAAGCACTTATCCCAGTATGCCTCAAAGGTTGTGTAAGCCTGTCCTTTTCCAGCATACTTCCCATGGCTCATACAACAGATCTGCATTGAAGCTTTGCACAGAAATGCCTAGCTCCACCAGCTTTCCCTTGATGTTGTGATCAACAATGAGTGAAACGGGATCTGGGATGGAATAAATAAATAATTTACAAATCAGGAAAGAAGGGAAACGCCTTGAACTATCTCTGCAAGAAGAATCAACACAATAGCAAGCATGACAGATGAGGGTTCTCTTCTCCAGCACTAAGCTGATTGTCAACTTCATAAAATGGTTTTCGATACGACTTCTGATATGTGCCTTAGATTATAAGTAAACAAAATCTTTGAGCCCATTTCACGAGTGAGATATGTGAAAGATCTCACAGAAGAAAAATCTTCATGTTGATCATGGAAAATTCATTCATTTTGTTGTATTTTATACTGACTCAATTCGTATCAGCTTATAGCTTTTCGGATCAGTGGTAGCTTAACAGTTCCAACCATGCAGAGGCAAAACTTTAAGGATGACTACCACAAGTCCTAAAACACAATACAAATATAGACATCCGATGAAGGATTACGATTTCCAGATCTCAATATATAACCAGATAGGGCATCAAAAAGAAATAAACTCAAAAAGCTTCGCTATTCAATTTGAAAATTAAATTATCAGTTCATTGATTGAAACTACTGTTGCGAGAGGTCCCGGAACATACCATAAAGATGATTGAATACGACTTTGGTAGCACCAATGGCTTGAATGCAGACCAAGAGAGCAGCAAGAGTACTCTGAGTTTTGATAAGCACAAGTTCTGCCCCAAGGGATTTCAAGGACTGGTCCAAATGAGCAAGAGACTGCTTCAGCCACCACCTCAAAACTCGACCTGGGTAAAATTGCCCTTCCTCTTTGGGGCACCATACATAAACAGGAAAAACACTACCATCCCTAGCAGCAGCTGCTAAGGCAGGATTATCCTCAATCCTCAGGTCCCTCCTAAACCAAACTATAGTCTTAGCGCTACCCATACCGCCTAATTTGGTTTCTTCAAGATCAAATTTCACTATCAAGCTTCACAAAAGTCTCAATAATCACTCTCCATCCTTCCCCCAGTAATTACAAACATGAAGTACTAATCAATCACGAAATCGGATTCGAGGTGCTAAATCACAGAAAATACATAAAGCAACTCACAATTATAAACTGTAAGTTTTTCCAACAGTATGAATTGCTAAAAATACCCTCAAATTTCAGTATTTGTGGATCAATTGAGCCTTTACCAACTGAAAAAGTAAAATCCACCATAAAACCATCAATCAAACAATTCAACTGCACAAAACTAAATCATCAAATACCAATTAAACAACTTTCAAAATTTGCACAGGGAACTTACTCAAGATTATTCAGAGAACACTTCATGCATTTTGGTGCAGCTTTTCTCCTTGAACACAATTCCACCTGCAATGGTAGATCGGCTTTCAAGTCTCTAATTAGTGTGCAATTATAGAGTTTTTGTTTAAAAGATGCATATATTTTACACTCATTTTTTCCAGGACAAAGGGGAAAAGAATATTGCAGAAGTGTTTACAGTTTGCAGGAGGTCAAATTATGTCTGTCGATTGTTGGAGTAATGGATTTATGTGAGTGTTTGATGTAACATCACGTGGAGATAGTGACATTGATTGTGGTTTGTGAATAATATTGCAAACACAAGAGATAAGAGATAAGGTTAAAAGGGTTAGGTCTTTGTCCATGACCTACTAGAGCAAATTGTATACTGTTATTGTAACATCTCATGCCAATGATACAACTTTATATGAACAAAGACATACAAATATTGTTTCTCCATCCATGAGAAACTTAAAGATATTGTTGTATCATTGGCACCAAATGTCATGGTAGCGGTGAATCCATGCCTACTTCTCCTAGGTCAAAATAGTCATTTTCACCTTACCTTCATGCGTCGGAAGTGCAAGCTCAGCCAAAGAGTCCTTGTCCCCCATATTCGGATGTTTTAGTTGTTAGATCTTTATTTATAAATATAAAAATAAAGATCTAGCTGTTAAAATAGTCGGCATACTCGCTAAGAATCTTTGCCAAATAATATAAGTTCAATGTATCATGAAACTCAACAATAAACCACAGCACATGCTTTTAGAGATTTTAACTAACATATTATGTTTGAATTTTTTGAATTAATGATGGGGATTTTTATTTTTTTTTATTTTTTTAATTTGGCTGCAAAGTCCATCCCACTTCAGCTTTGCTATCATGGGAAGTGACTTTGAGGAGAATTTATTGATAAACAAGAAAAATACAATATGTCAAGTGGGGACATGAGGCCAAACCCTAACCATTATAGAATTCATAAAAACAAGTCAAAACCTCTTCCAGCAAAACTTATAACAAGGAAGCTTAGAAAGTTTACAAGAATAAGCAAATGCAGCACAAGGATGGCATGAATCCCACCAATAAACACCGGGGTGATCAACACCATAATTGGTCAAACAATCAACAACTTGATTACCCTCCCTAAAAGTATGAGAAATTTGAACTTGCATGGAGGATAGTAAAACTTGACAGTTATGCCAACTGACCAAAAGCCTCCAAGGGATAGATGTCAAAGAAGGTGAAGATGAAGAAAGAAGATGAACAACCAATGAGGACTCACATTCAATCCATAATGAATACCAACCTCTATCTCAAGCCAAAGATACAATATGAATAACAGTGCATAGTTCGGCATCCAAAGATGAGGCCAAGCCTACTAAATTCACAAAACAACCAAGAGAATGACCCGTAAAATCCCAAAAGATACCACCAAATGCAGCCACACTAGGAGGACCTCTTGTAGCACCATCAATATTTACTTTGATCCAAGGTTGAGATGGCGGGCACCACAACACCTCAATAATTTTTGGAGCCTTGGCAGGACGTCCATGAACACCAATATAATCAAGAATGCAAAGCTCTTCCACATAATTCTTCATACAGCCGGAATTGAGAGTATCAATTTCAAGGAGTTGAAATTTAATAGACCTTACAACATCATTGGTGGAAACAACCTCCTCATGAAAACGAACAGCGGCGAGCATGCCAAATAGAATAAAAATCAACTCCAATTATACCCCCACCAAAGTAGCTTCACTTCGGTTCCAAAACCTTGTTGTAAAGGATAATGGAAAAAGCTAAAAATATTTGAAATAAATATTGAACTTTGAATAATTCCAAAATAGTGGACCAAATTTGACGTGCAAAAGAGCACTAAAAGAAAATATGTGAAGCGGTTCCCATACCTTCACAACAAAGAGAGCACATAGATGCTATAGCAAAACCTCTTCACTGCAAGAGATCATCAGTTAACATCTTACCATGTAAATACTTTCACAATGTAACTGAAATATTAGGGTGAAAGCAAGATTGCCAAACCCATCGATCCCATTGAACCACTAGTTGTTTATTACGCTTAAAATCATAAACCAAAGATAAATAGAAGTCACCATTTGAAGTAGACATCCAAATCATTTTTTCATCAATCCCAGACATTGAAGAAATATCATCCCAAATGGGCGCTAGCCATGAATGTAAAGTAGGTGGGGAAGTCCAAAAACCATCCACAATAAAATCAGAAACTTTAACTCGAAAAGCCTTGCATAAAGTTAGTGGAATACCAAGCCTATCAACTATTGGAAAATCCAACCATCTCGCATGCCAAAAATTAATATTTTCACCGATACCTATCACCCATTTTGAGCCATGAAAAATATCTGAAAAAAAGAGGGCGTAAACCGGGCCAAATGGAGGAACTCTTGTATGTAGAACATGGCTATCCAAAGGAATTAAAAAACAGACCTTGAAAAAACAATGAAGCCATAAATGAGGTAACCAAAATATCGCAAAACTTTTTCAACAAAAAGACCTTATTTAAAACTAAAAAATTACGAATGCTAAGACCTCCTTCATTTAAAGGAACACAATATTTTTTTCATGCCACAATAGAAAATCCACAAGAATCAGCATATCTCGTCCAAATGAAATTTCAAGTCCAACTATGAACCTGATTTAGTAGGTGGCCAAGAATAAACCAAGAGAGTATGAGATAACATGCTTTAATGAAGGGGGTTTAGCTTTTGTTAGGCCTTGTTTAATGTTGTTGGGCCTTAATCATATGTTTTGATGGAAATTGTTCTTAGTTATCAGTTTTTATTTCATTTTAGGTAGGGTTTTTATCACAAATAGTCCCTAACATTGATCAAACACATCATTTTGGTCCTTGACATTGAAAATCAATAGAAATGGTCCCTGAGATTGATCAAACACATCACAAATGGTCCTTCCGTTAAAAACTCTTTGGGCAATTTTCAAAGCTTCATAACTCAATCGTTTCTTAACCAAATTCGACCCATAATATATCAAAATGAAGATAGGATGTAGAACAAGATTATACCTATTTGTTTAAGAAAAACCCTTGAGTTACAAAGTTTTGAAAATTGCCCAAAGAGTTTTTAACGGAAGGACCATTTGTGATGTGTTTGATCAATCTTAGGGACCATTCCTATTGATTTTCAATGTTAGAGACCAAAATGATGTGTTTGATCAATATTAGGGACCATTTGTGATAAAAACCCTTTTAGGTATTAGTTTTGATTTATTGTTAGAAATAGAAGGGAAATACTAAGAGAAAAAAAAAGGATGAGCAAAGGTGGAGGAAAGGGGAGAATTAAAGTTAAGTGATCTAGTCTCATAGTGTGACTAAGTAGAAAATTTATCTTCCCTAACTATTGGATTAAGATAGATCTTTATTTAAAAAAATAAAAATCAAGATCTAACGGTGAAAACACACGGAGTACCAGGTATCCTGGAGCACCTAAAAATTTTTGTTGGATCAAAACACAAGATGATCACATCTGAGTAAGAAAATGTGATCGGCTTTTGAGAAACCAAAACAATACCTATTCCATCTTTAATTTATCCTGAATTCGAGAAGGGATAACTATCCAGTTTTAAATTTCTTCTTTTCCTCAAGTGTTACAAGCATCACCAAACTATTTCATACCAACATTTTGCCTTCCTTTGCCTGAATAAGGTCGTACCCAGTGCACAAGGCTCCCGCTTTACGCAGGGTCTGGGAGAGGTGAATGTCGGCTAACCTTACCCCCATTTATGGAGAGGCTGCTCCCAAGTCTCGAACCCGAGACCTACCGCTTATGGGCGAAGGCCTTTGCCTGAATATCAAAGAATATTTGGCCACATATCAAAGCCCTTGGATAGGTTTTGAGTGCGTTAAATCAAAGCATGTACAACAATTCCTATACCTATTTCTAAACTATATATCGGATACATTACTGATGCGGTATATATCTGATACACTGCTGATATGGTATATATCTGGTACACTGCTGACATGGTACATATGTGATACAGCGTGGAGGAGCCAATTATACTAAGCTTACAGACTGATACTGGGTTCAATACAAGACATAGAATCTTGTAAGAACTAAACTAGTGTCCAATAAAACACACATGGAAAGCGTAAAACTGACCATCTGACATTCAGCTTCGATGACAACTTTTACATGACATATCTTGCCACAAGTTACGCTAGTTTGTTAAACTTATCAAGCTCGAGCTTGATTAATTACAAGCAATGTACTCAACAATACCAAAGGACATCTGTTTCTCAGATGAACAACCCGAACACATAATTCTTTAGCAACAAACAGATGCTTTCAGCTATATCAAATGACAATATGTGATATAAGGCCAAAACTTCATAGTGATAAATGCTATAGCCAGTCCATTCAGATTTTGAATTAACACGTTGCAAAACAAAATAACCATGCTAAGGGGTAATGTAATGCAAGGAAAGACAACCCAAATAAGTATCAATACCTATTTTATATAACATAGGTCAAATTATCATTATCCATAAGCATATCCATTTCACCTGAGAAGCATCATAGTAATAAAGAAGTCCATCATAGATCATAGCCAGAGCCCATAATCAGCCATCCTGGGTGCGGATTATATTTAACTACATCTGGCTTTTACAAGGAACATATAATGCTCAAATTCAGAAACAAGCCTAGGAGCTTCTCTAATCTGCCAAAGCCATTTAAAATAGTTGCTCAGTGTACACGTTCTCTAAGCACTTCAAGTTCCATCTCAGTTGGGTAAGTTTCATGGATTTCATAATGGATGTCATCCACTCCCTCCTGAACCTGTCCTTTGATGTCACATAGAGCATCTTAGCACGGATACATGACACATAAGGTGACCTGAAAAATGGGCACAATAGTATCACATGAGAATTGAAATGGAAGTAGAAGCTCAATGGAGAGAAAAATTAGTGTTGATCCCCATTTCTCACATGAGGGATATCACATAATGACCCAAAATTATCAACATGATCCATAGCATCAATTAGTCACTAGCATCAATAAGTTCGATAAACAATGTCAACTGCAGTTTGAATCAGAAACATTAACTTTAACTAAAGAATTCTGAACAAAACTAACCATGCAATGAAAAGTATTTTGCTCTTTTGGCAATTCTCTGAAGTGACAAAATCAAGGCATAAATTGCATATCGACAATCATTCTCAGGCAACGAAGCGGTGAAA